TTCCTCTCACTTAAAAGATTTTCATCATATTTAATCAGTAATTTAAGGCAGACTTTATATTTTCATTAATTTAATTTTCACGAAAGATGGTATAACTTTCAAATTTATTTACGACTGGGGAAAACGTCATGCAGTGTCAATTTTCTTAACTCGAAGCATTCTCATTGCTGCCCATCGTTCGGCACAAAGTCGGCCGTCGCGCCCGCGGCGCCATGTGCTGTTTATTTTTCCGGGTCCGTTATCCTTATTCATTGATATGCTAATAAATCTCGTTAACCGACATTTTGAAATGCAGAAGAAATCTGAAAAAAGGAAAGGTTAGCTTTTGAGAATGCATTAATGAATGTGAACTAAAGAAAGGTCATGTATAATTTTTCGAAAATATAAGTACTTTTCGTGTAATTTTGCATGAAAGTACGGACGAGAAAGTACATTCTATTTAGCACCACTACTTTCACTCATTTTCAATACTGTAATTAATTTATTAAAACACCTCTTATTGGAGCAAATACTCTGACGGAATTTCGAGTCTCTGATTAAATATTTTTGTTTCTCACCTAAGGTGACCAGACGTCTTGTTTTAGCCGGGACAGTCCCTTTTTCTGAGTCCTTGTTACATATTTTTGAAAGGAAAACGGGACGTCAAAATGTTCCGTTTTCTTGACAATGACTAATCGGTATAAAGTGCCGTCAATAATTTTCAATTTATCATAATTTATTTCTTTGGGTGTGCATTAGTTTATAAAAAGGCGATTAGATCGTACGCTTATATATCACGTAACAAGTTTTTTACAGGCTATTGAAATCAAGAAGGGAGAAATTCAGCGATGGTTCTAGGAAGAGAAAATGAGCTGTCGTGTCATTTGAGCTCATATGTGCGTTATCGCTATTGATATCGTTACCGATAAATTCAATAATCCGAAACTTCTGCTTCTGTGAGACTTAGCAAGCAATCTTAAGCGACTGCTTAAAATGCATTGCGGAAATGATTGGGTGAACAAGCCAGAGTTCGATTTCGACTAGAAGCTCCGAGTGTATCTCGGACAATTGCTGCATTTCCGAGTGGGATTCTTATCATAGCTGAAACGCTGCTACCAGTTACATTACTTATCCTTGGATACAACCAATTATCAAACGACCAGAAGACGACTGTGACCAACTGCATTTGAGTAATTGGATTCCACACCTCCAGCGCGGGAGTCGGGCAAAACGTTCGACTTTTCGAATCTGCTTCGTGACTTCTTCAGAAAGGCGTTACTGGAGAGCCACCGACGTTTCCTGGACGAGGCGCGGCTGTGGCCGCTGCCCGATTCAGGCGCTGAAGCGGAAGAAGACTAGGACGGAGACAGCAGGAACCTGGAGGTCGTTCTGGAGAAGAACGACGGCAACACCGCGCCGGAGGTAGAGCCATCGAGCTCTGAGGCGAGTACAATGTTTCGGCGACTCATCTCCCGACAGGACTTCAAAAAACTTCCTCGCGGATGATGGGTTCATCCTAGTCACAAAATATTCAAGAGATTCCATCCAAACCCTCGTAAGACCATAGAAACTGCAAAGATTCCAGCCGCTCCAAAAACTCGACTATGAAAAACCTGACTCCTCATCCCACACCCAGGAAGGAACTACCTCAACCAATCAGACAGAATCCCAACTACCAACTCAACACCAGGAAACTACCTCACAAAGAAGCAGAATAGGACTTTTTCTAATAGACCTGGACTCTTTACTTAACCCATCAGCCCTGAAAAAAGACTGATGAAAACCTGCAACAACCAACTCATCGCCAAGTGCATCCGGACACAACTAGTACTTCAACAACTGACTTTATCAGCATATAACAAAATTTGCGATAGCCTGGATGAGATAGCAAAAGGCTAAAAATACCTATTCTTTGTAAAAATCTCATACTCTTTTAATAGAGCTACAGAGAAGATAAGAGACAAAATTGTGGTAAAGGAACTAACACCTGGTTATCGCACTGACAACATAAAAAAGAACTTAGAAGACCTAGACATCACTTACCATCACATCACGGAAATGAATAGACGAGACAAAGACGGAAAGCTCATCCCCATAGGAATCATTGAGACAAAGAAAAACTACATGACCGAGGCAAGGCCAAACTCAAGTACATTGACCACTTCAAAATAAAACTAGAAAACTACAAGACCATCCACGGAATATCTCAATGCAAAAGATGCCAGAGACTTTACCATACCAAAGCATATTGCAGACGACCCGTGTTAGAACTCACTGTATAATCACCATCCTAGTTTTGCACACTCGGATCGCGCACTGTACTAAGGTACAATTCATATTTTGTATGTTTGAATTAACTCTCTCGTCGGGCACTTGGTGCGCCACCTCCTGGGCCGCCCAGCTGTCATGGCGTCGCCCCTCTCAGGCGCTCGCTGCCCGCGGCGAGACCGTGGGAACCGCCGCTTCCCTTGCTCCCATACACCGGCCGTTGATCAAGGCAGTACGGAAAACCCACAACCGAATCTCCCCTCTTTTCACCAACCCCAAAATTTGATCCTTCGATCTTCAAATTATAACAAATACCTTTGCCCAAACCCTGGCCGACCGTTTGCCTCCTCGTGACATCCCTATCTCGGACAATGTACTCGTTACCTAAAAACCCCAGCCCTACCACCCCGTCACCGAACGACATGGACTACTGACACAACTTCTGACTATAACTGACTGCACCAAATGCCCCAGACCCGGATTTCTTTCTACTCAACTTCGTAAACTCCCCCAAAACGCCATTGAACTGCTCACCCTCATCATCATCATCTACTGTTTTAAATTGTCCTATCTCCCGGCCTCTCGAAAACCGCCTGTGTCTATGATTCCAAGGCCTGACAAGGATCATCGGCCTCCTACTTATCATCAGCAAAGTCTTTGAGAAAATAATCCTCACTCGTCTAATCCCCCACCATTCCCAATTCGGATTCCGTGAGGGACGCTCTGCGTCTCTCCCAACTTCTCTCTTTCCATAGCTACCCCACTCCAAACCACAACGAAATGCCCACTATCCGGACCAACTTGACCCAAGCGTATGATACAGTCTCCCACCCAATCCTCTCAATGGAAATTCGCCCCTACATCCCGCACCACATCCACTCTACTCCAAAGCTACCTCTCCAATAGTTTCTTCCACCTTAAATGCCTTGCACGAATTTGTTAATTCCAAAATGCCTCTTGTCCATTCAGTTCAATTCAAAAATGTCTTGTCTTCGAAGCATTTTCAAAATTTGTCTAAACATTTCTTGGATTTAATGAATAAATATTAGTCTTTCCGCTGTTTTATGACATTTAATGTGTTAAAGTATGTTATTCACACATTTAAAAACGGTGTAGAAATATACTTTAACGAGAAAAATGCGATATGCCTTAAATTTTACCAAGTGGACACGAGACATTTTGAAATTCTCACTCAACAGAGGGAGATCGAGAAAGAGGTTAAGGTAGAGCCAATGCAGAGTTCATACATCTCTCTCCTAAATTGCAGCACATTCTTTCTTGCACTCTAATTGCAATTTCCGAAAATTCTAAGTTAACAAACATGAGACCTGCGCCATTCTTTGAAGCGTATCTTATTCTATTCGTGGAAAAAATTTGGAACAATATTTGAGAACTTTTTTTTTTTTTGTAATTTCTCTCAACCTCAAGCAGAAATTGTGCAAAAACTACTAGTTTTTTCAAAACATTTTAGATAGTCTTTTTTACGACCTGATTTTTTTAGAACAGATTTTACTGAAAACAAAAATCTCTAACATCAAATTTGTAGTTGTTAAATATGAAGTTATTTCAAGATCTAACTTTTAACAACAGATTTTATTAAAGAAAAAACCTTCAACTACAATATTTAGGATAAGGGAAGATGCTGAAAATAGGTTGAAATTTTGCCGTCTTCCAAAAATCAAGAGATTTGAACAAAAATGTGAGCTACGCCATTCTTTTAGCTACCTCACTACCCGTGGCCAAAGTTTAATTGAAAACTTTAGTGCCATTTTAGAGAAAATTTTGAAAAGTTAATTCAGGTTTCGTGTAAAGTACCTTCAAAATCAAAACATCCATTTGAAACTTGCAGGGCCTTGACTTCCTTAAAATTGACCCAGGAATATCAATTTTGACGAAAATTGACTGAACTGTATCGGCACTAGTGTTAAGCAGACAGATGTGCGTTTTCCTGACAATTCATTTTTTGGTATCAAGAATACCCCAAACATGGAATTCAAATACACAATGTGTTAGAAGTAATTTACCATATACACAAACAAGATTCATCCACTATTTTGTTACAAAGGCCCAACAATGAGTTTTACTGTCAAAAATTCGCTGTTTTTTGGCAGCACACAATTACATATTGTCTTCTTTCAAAGGGCAAAAAAGTACAAAATAATTTAAGACCATTAATTTCAATTTAAAAAAGAATTTTTATGTTGGGGAATACTTCTCTGGATCATCATTAGGTAATTGTTTAGAATCAATTGAATAAAATTACAAAAACTGGTTCACCCCCTGTTCTTGCGGGCATGTGCCACCACTTTGGTTTGATAACAATGAGCCGAACATAGCATTGCAAGAAGATAACATACAATAAAGCAGCTCCTCAAGCTAGCTTCCATGTATACGTAAGCTTCCGCGGCTTGAATCCATGAATTCTCGGCTACCGGGAGATGCCGCGTCGTTGGCTGGGGTGCCGACGTTTTGCCTGACATGTCGCAGGCTTCCTCAGGGCAGTGAGGAAGTCGTCACTGCCCTGAGGAAGCCTGCGACATGTCAGGCGAAACGTCGGCACCCCAGCCCATGACGATGCGTCTCCCGGATAGGCGAGAACTCAAGCTAGCTTCCAGTTCTGCCTGTTTCAGATAACTGAATAAGCTAGTTATATCAATTAAGTCATTCCTTTTAGTCCCATACGGAATACAATATTATTATTTATCAAGACAACATTACGCTGTTGGATAGAAGAGGAAACAAGGAAAATCAAATTTTTTTAACAAAATTTTATTTCTTCCAGTTAAGCCTTGAACAGAGTTTCTAAAAATAATATTTAATTTAACAAACTTCATCCTAAAGACTAAGACAAAAATCACTAAAAAGCATATAAGATGCAAACATATGATCACATTTATCTTGTTCACTGAATAAAATGTATGAAATAATACTACACGTTTTCTTCGGTTTTATAACCTTTCAGGAACTCTTGGGTAACTAAAACACTAGATTAAACAAAAGAATAAACAAAAACAGTTCTTGAAAACAACGGTTTCCAAAGAAAATTCACTCCAAAAAAGTGGAAAGAAACATGAAATTTTACTTTTTACCCTTTGCTCTCTTGGGTGGTTTTCAAGAACATCGTGGAATCTTGTTTAAGGTACTGAAATTTTTGAACCTGTCATGATGCACAGCTGAACATAAGTAACTAGCTCTAGGTCCAATGATTAGTGGAAAACCCTTGAATGCCAACTGATACCTTTAAGTATTCAGAACACCATATATCTGCAATGGAAAATGCATGAATGGCAGAACACGCTACTAAGAAATAAATGTGAAATAGGGCACTTGCACATGTAAATAAAAATTTAACGAAATTGGGAGCAGGACTAAAAAATATGGTCATGCTATAAGGGAAAATATGGTAACGAGATTCCACTGTACCTCTGTGGCATGATGGCTAGTTGCTGAATTATTTATGCCGGTGAATTTGTCACAGCTCTAGTGGTCAGTAGCTGTGGTACACAAAAATAAAATTATGCGGATCTCTCAATTTTGGGTGGATAGTGCTGAAATCTAGTGACCAATGTTGCACTATGTACCTTCTAATTTCAAGGTGAACAGCCATTGCAGCTAGCCATCAGAGTCGAGAGCGATGATTACAAGAAAAATATTCATAGAAAGCTGAGAGCTGTTTTTAGAGTGGTTGAACAAAGTGAATAGTGAAGAACAGAGTGAAACATATCAGAACATTTTTCACATAATTGCAAATAATAGATTACCTTGATCTACACTGTTAAACTTTTTGCTACAATTATCATATAAACTTACTATAAAATGAAGTAAAATCAGTCTTATTTTATCACATGATTGTGAAGCACTTTTCGTGCTCTCTGAACACTTGCTTTAATTTTTGTGAACTCCTCTTTCCATGAACTATTCAGCCTTGAACTCTTCATAGATTCAAATTATGCGTAACATAAAAAGTATTTAGCAATAACTTCACAGTAATTATAATATATATTTTCAAATTTGATATCCTCATGATTTGATAATAAAAATGTTGCTTAATTATTTCAAATTACCATTGTTCAGAAGAAAAACAACTGATCTTCAGTTATAAAATACCGAAATGGATCCGAAAAGTAATGAATTTTCAATTGTTGATTTGGGAAACCACAACATGTACCAAACTACTGAAGATTATTACGCAAAGCTGTAAATTACAATAGAGTTCTGTAAGCTAATTAACCGATTAACTGCTATTAAATGCCATGCCAATCTCCATTTGGGGATTAACCTTTTTTCTACATGTAGACACATTGTGCCTCATTGTTGATGTCCTTGACAGTTAATAAATCTAAGGCTCATTGTTTCAGAAGACTTTGTTAAACTTATAATAATTAGTGTATTTATTTCTTTGTTCCTATGGTCCACATCGTTGCAAAATGAACACAAAAGTGAACATCTCAAGACTGTGTGATGAACAAGGTCTCTAAGAATGACCATCAATTGCATCACATTAGTTGTCAGTTCAGAGTGTTATGACATCCAAATTAGGCACCTTTTCTCCTGAAGTCCTTATCGTGACAGGCAGAGGGTGAAGGTCCAGAGTTCAGCTACATTGCATCCCTTAGCATTAAGATATTGAACAAGAACTCCACACTTGAGTGGAAGATATTATTATTCTAAGCATGTTTACAAGTTCATGGTGCACTCAGAACTGACAATGACAATGTGAAGTGATTAATGGACATTCTAGAGAGACTATGCAACACATCTGCGAAGTGTCACTGGATTTTCACTGTGTTTTTTCTTTAAAATTGTTGAACGGATTAAACTATAGCATCATTAAAAGTTATTCCGCTGTTATAATAACTTTTTTCTGTATCTGCTACAATAACTAAATTTTGGCAGTTAATGGGTTAAGTAGATGTTGCAACTATTGTCTTATGACAGTACATGAGAGTGCACTTAATACTATATTTGAAGCCTCATCTTCCACTGCATTAAAGAATTTTTACATGCAATGCTTTACAGTTGATGGTGCCCATTAAGAACCGAATTTCTTTATCATTATGTAAGCAACATGATTATTTAAATAACCAGACAATAAGAAATCTTGCAAGCATAAATTCATTAGTGCTACATTTCCTGCCATATGTGATTACCAACATTACTAGGAACTAATTTAAAATATCACAGTTTTTTCCAAAAGCATTCAATTTAAAAGTCAATATCACAGTCAAATGAGATTCTTGTACTATTTATCAAGAAATGTTTCCTTTCTTTATCAGATATTCATTGGCCCAGCCTGATCATTCATAAATCCAGAGAGATGAGATTTATCTCTGGCAGCAAATGTCAGGGGGAATGATGGGACAGCTTGAGGGGCTGCCATTGGCACATATGACGATGATGCTGGCTGGACATTTATACTGACAGTTAGGCAAGAGCAACAACAGCAATGGCAATTGCATTGGCGTGGACTGGAGATGTTTCTCGCCAGATCTAATTCTTGCTTTAGTTTTTCTCTTTTCCTGAAACAAGATATTTTATCAGAATTTTGTGAAAAGCCACCCCCCCTCCCCCCAGGAAATAGCATTCATCCCAATTTCTTATGAAATAAAGTCACATCAAGTTTCAGAACACACACGTCAAATTACTCCTAATAATTAATTCATTAAAATATTGTAAATAATGTAAATCAATGTAAATAATAATAATAATAATGTAAATCAATTGCACATACTAAAAAATATTTTAATGAATTCATTTTTGTAACTATCAATGTATTGCTTTGAAAACATAATACATATTTTTTAACAAATCCAAATGAGAACACCTGAATAATTTTCAGAACACACATGATCACTTTGAATAACAACAAAACAAAGTATACCCAAAAATTGAGGATTTACAAGGGGATTTGATATTTTATACAAAATCTTTTTGAGTGACAGATAGAGATAGACACACACAATTCATTTTGTTGAATATTATTGAATTTTTCATTTGATTTTCTAAGTACCTCTCTCAATGCAGCACTGAACATTTCAGTTGCCTCACATGGTGAATTGTAACATTTGCAATAATTATAATAAATGCATTGTAACTAACTTGCAAGAATTCAGTTAAGTATGACATCAGTTACAGAAGGACACATACTTTTGACTTACAAGTAAATTATCCATTTTACCTGATTATTTTCACAACAAAACGTTTCTTTGCCCTTTCCTCTAGTCTATAATTGATAAGGTGGATTCCTAAACCTACAAAGTCAGTGGTTTGTTTTATTAATTTTGGAATCCACCTCTTCAAGCATCTTACAAGAGTAAATAATTAAAAAATTTTCACTGACATAATATATGCAAGATTGTATAAAAATAACAAGAACAGACAAACTTCTTAAGTCTGTTAATTATACTGTTCTGAAAATATGTCAAATACTAATATTAGAGAACATATTAACATTTCTTGAATGTAAACATTTCGTATTTCTTAGATTGAATTTGTACAATGACAAATGTAGTAAACCTTCAAATTTTTTTACATTTCGTAATTACCCAAAAATTTCACGCAAAAGGGATAGTGGAATAAGATAGGCAAAATTGCCCCCAAAGGATAAAAAGTATGTTGAAAATTGTATTTCAAGCGTGTGCGCACGTGGAGGAGGGAGTTTTCAACAGATTTAAATCAAGTTTACCCTGAGTACTTAGCACAATTGGGAAAAGAAAAAAAGAAAAAAAACTGTTTTTAGCTTCTTACATAAGTTTAATTGTTTTCAAATCACATTATGTCTATGAATAATAGATCCCTTCTTATAGATGATAAAGATGTTTTGAGAATTTTTTTCAGGCATTTACAACCAATTTTGACCCATAAATCAACAAAAAAGAAGGGGACAAATTAACCTTTTTTAAGAACATTCATGTTCCGACACATAAAAAAAGGGGCTAAATACAAGGAGTAGTAGTTGTATCGTAAATTTTCTGTTTTCCCAAAATTTTAATCTTTTATCTTATAATTTGCACCTAACGCTCAATATAAATAAAACGGTAATTTAATAAGTTTGTTATTTATTTTCATAAAATTAGGTTTTGTTTTAATTTTGATAGTTTTTTTTATTTCATTTTTACTAGAAAATATAGATCACAAAAAACAAAATTGTAAGCATATGGCTAGCCTGGAATTAAAGTGGTCTATGGAACAGATCACAATGTGAATTTTCTTCTCATTTTCGATCCACTTGCACAATGTGGGGGGGGGGGTAAGATGTCCCTTTTACAGAACAGTAATGGCATGAAATGTATTAAAATGTGGCAAAGTTTCTCTATTACACAAACTATTCTTAAAGAGTGCTCTGATGTCAATTTTTGCAATATTTCTCATTAAGAACATTCTTGATGTCTAAACAACACCGCTGTGCATTATAGGGGAGTGATGGTATACCAGGCAATTGCTCTAGCATTAATATTCAGCTCCAAAATTGAAATCCGAAACCAACGTTTACACTAAAGTCAATATAACAAATGAAACCAAGATAAAATAACACACGAGGTGGAGGGGGAAGGAGGGGACACTCAACACTAGTCTCCCCCCCCAAGAAAAGTATCTGGACAACTGTTTTATTTATCTAAAAGACTTTGCTGTACACAGCTGCTTCAAAATATTTTACTTCATTTTCACATATTTTAACAGAAAACAGTTAGGGAAATTTAAGGCAATGTGGGGAAAAATGAAGGTTTTCAAATAAAAACACACAAATATTACACCTTGTTTTACATACATGCAGTTTGTGATAAAGTAGCACATCACTGGTGACCCACCATAAACAAAATAAATAAGTAAATAAATAACAACATTCATAAAAGAACAAAAACAAATATGGCAAATGAAAATTTTTTGTAATATAAATCTTTTGAGAACTTAATAAAAAAAACACAATTAACAATAAAAGCACCTTTTCCCCATTTGAAGAGAGACATTCTTGCGAATATGAAGTTTTCTCAACCTGTAAATTTAAACAACTTTACATGAAGACGAAATTTTAAATCGCAATAAAACAAGCAATGAGAATTTCTGATTATACTACAATTGCATATCCATATCCAGAACGTGTGGTTTTTTCACTCCCCCTCCCCCTTTCCACCTCGCTTTCACCTATAATGAAAAAATTCTGCACATTCAGAGCACAAACCTTTGTATTAAATTATTTAGTCAGAATATTCTGATATTCTTAATCACATTACAAACAATTGTCATATCTATTATTATTATTATTATTATTATTATTATTATTATTATTATTATTATTATAATACCATTAAAATATTCAAAGAAGGAAGCTATTACAATTTTTCTTAATGTTTAACTGAAATCTGTTCCTCCAACACAAACATTGCTGTATAGAACACATTCATTATTTATGAAAACTTAACTCAGAAGTAACATTTAATTATAATATAAATTAATAGATGAACATATTTTTTTAATCAACAGTTTTATTGAATTTAGATAAATGTTAGGTTAATTTCTGACTAGCAAAATATATCCAACTTGATCTCTCTGGAGGGAAAGAAACCATTTTATTACAATAACACAAAAATAAATTCCTTCTCATAGTCAATACTAATTGTTGTTAAACACTTTTTAAATACTTAGAATATTATAAACAACCATTGACAAACTAACAAAAAACAACCTTGAGAAAATTTTGTGGAAACTTGTAAAACGTTATGAATACATAATATACAATAAATTGGGTAATCTCGTTTAAGACAAGTATTTTTACCACAATTCACATGACATTCTATTCAAGTTAATTTTTAAACTAAACTTATACTATTCATGTGTGGAGTGCAAATATAATATTAAAATTAAGAAATTATCCAAAGGAGACCAGTTTCAATTAATGTGATGGATGGAATTTGCACTCACAAGATGTACAGATTAAGGGCATCTGAATTTTGTTTGGTTTTGAACTGAAAAAAGTACAAAGACAATTGAAATGGTCTTCCATGGGCTGTAAGGATTCCAATGAATCTGAGAATGTATTGCTGACTTTCAAAAGTTTGTAATTTTAATTTGTTGAAGTACAAGGTCTAATGAAACATTAACGAGAGAAATGATTATTTTTAGACAATGTAATTCTTAATTTACAGATCAAGAGCAGTGCTCAAAGAATATTATAATTCAAAAACTTTAAGAACATACAAATGAATCAACACAACTATGTAGTAATATAGTTGATGAACTTACATTTATTATATTGAAAATAACTGATAAGAAACTGACTCCAGTATCTCAAGTTAGGAGTGTTAAGGCCAAAAATTTTGGATATCCTTAACAAGGTCTTAGGTTCTATAGGTTCCTCAAATGCTTCCTCTCGAAAACCAAAGTGTAACATTTTAGTGTTTTTATTTGAAAAGATGACATTTAAATCTTCTGATGCTTTTGAGGAATAAGGAGAAATAAACAGGATGTGAACATATTGGTCCTGACAATCATTGCGCAATGAGAGCACTTTATATAATTGCAAAACTTTCATGGCAATTCTAATGCCAAGATTACAATGCCTATAGGGTGACAAAGTTATTCATAGATTCAAATGCTACTTCTGCAATTACATCAACTGGTAAAAATCAGCAAAACTAACTTCCAGGCAACCATTCAAACTATTAACTATCAGAACATGACAGAGCGAAGTTATCACAACTTAATAGTGCAACTGCTGCTTTTGAAGATATGGATATTTGTATTTACTGAAATTTGGTTACACAATGGAATCCTTGATGCTGAACTTATCTATTTTCATTAGATCTATAGGACTGATAGAAATGGTGAAACAAGAGTGTTGAAAAGGTGGTTGTTATTGCTTTTAAGGACCTTAATAGTGGGGATAATAGAATCCAGCAATTAATATGCTTGACCTATTTTTGTAAATATTGTTGTATGCAAGTTAAATTATATTTTTGTCTGATTTATTTTCCTCCTAAACCTGATTTGCAAGCTTATATTCAGTTTACTGAGTGCTTGGAAATACATTTGAAAATCATCCATCAGCTAACTTTGTAATAAGTTTATACAAATGAATATATTGATGATGAAAATGACACGGTATTGAATGATTTTTATAATTTTTCTTTTGTAGTAGGTTTGTAATGAAATGTCATTTTTCGTTCAATTTAGAACAATGCTGTTTAGTATATAAATTAATTTCATGTTATGACAGACAGAAGAATGAAATGACCCATTTTTGTCTCTTGTATTTTTTGTTGATTTTGACTGATAAGTAACTTTTTACCATTTTACATAACTTGGTGCATTTTGCACTAATTTCATAGATTTTTATAACATTTTAATGTTTTTAACAATGTTTACGAGGTGCGACAGATGTTCACCACAGAATTCCTGAGTTGCCTACTTGATTTCTTTGCTCTGCCGTTGTATTATGTAATCTAAGGTTCCCTTGACGTTTATCAGTGTCTTTGTCTGTTTGGCCTATTTCACGATAAATAAAGGCAGCTTCTTTTAGAGCACAGTTGAAACCAAAAGTTAGCAGGCGGAGTTTACTTGAGCTAAAGGAAAAAGCCTCTATTACATCAGTAACATATCCGACAGCTCGACTTTTGCATCTGAAGTGGTTTTGATAATATGTTTATGTCATTTTTCTTTGTTTTTAGGGCACTTTAAAAGCATTTTATTGATCATTTTAGGTAATGTTTTAGATTATCAAAATCCGCCTACTATTCTATTGGTATGGGAGATATGTGAATTAGCCAGCTGAAGTTTTTAATCCAATTAATTATTTGAATATTAACAAGAAAATTGGCCCTGGTAGCACTCAAGCTTCATAATCAAAAGGTTGTGTGGCGAACTTCACACCTATTAGTCATAAATTTGAGAAATCACCTGTTGACTTTTTACCTGACGTTTGGAAACTAAGCATTGGCTTTAAAAACAGTGATAAACACAATGTAGTCAATTATAGGCCTCTATCAATTATCAGCCCCATTCCATAATTAGAGAAAATATTAACATAAATTAATAACATAACACCTTTATTTGACATTTTGATTGATGAACAACATGGGATTTGCAAAAATAGATCTATATTATCTAATCTTTTGACTATACAGACTTGCATGATTAAGAAAATGGGATTGAAGTTCCAAGAAGATGTAATCAATACTGACTTTGATAGTGAGAACCATAAAACATTCATGTACACATTAGACTACTACGGTATTCATGGTACATTCCTACACTGGTTAGTTAATTATTTGTCTGGCATTACACCTAAGCTAAATAAAGGTGGTCTTTTGGCACATGCTGTAATACTGCGTAACTGTTTTTTAATTTTTTGTCCAGCTTACTGTTAACATGACAAAAAAGGGCCCCTATTACCAACTCTCTGTGTATCAAAAATTGACATGTAACACTAATAGGCCTTGACTGTTCTTTTGTGAGGAATAGCGTAATATTTAATTTAAAATTAGTAATTGAAACACATTATTTATAATGCTTTAGGCCCTATTACTAATTTTCTCAAAATTGACAACTTAATATAAATACAGTTTAAGGGGAGGTTGTACACGTCATAGCACAAAAATGTTCGATATCCGTATTTTTTGTGTTCCTTTGAATTACTAATATTTAACATAGTGAAATGTAAATTTTCAAGATATTTTGTTCCTAAAGGCTTGAAAATGCCATTTTAAGGTCTAGCTGTGTGAAGTGCTATACCCATTTTTTGTGCCACCTGCCACTCTACACTTTTTTTTTTAAGGTTTACGAAGTCTTTTCGGGGGCAATTTCCATCATTGTTGTTTTTACAGTAGTATAACAATCTTCCTCACAAAAATCCAGCGTTTTGACTTTTGGCAGTATAGTTTACGTTTATACAGTTTGTGGTAGTCTTTCTTGTGACTTCTGTTGTGTCATCTACACTACACTGCTACCTAGTCACAGGGTCAAAAAGGCTGAAGAGCATATAGAAAAAGTTGGCAAGAAGTAAGATTGTAAGAACAAGGAGGAAGAGTTCAAAGAATTATAAGAAAGATGCTAAAGAGACAGAATATGCACCAGGATTGTCTTAGAGTAACCTCACAAAACCTGCATTTCCTTGCATTGTTTTCATGTACCTTTTTCTCAGACCTCTGACACTTGCACATATCTATGAAATTTGCACCACTTATGTATCATGTATTTGCCATGATTTGCTGTTTTTTTATGGAGATTCGGAATTGGAGGTTGGGGGTTGGAGATAATGTAGTTAATTGTGCTACTGATATTCAATGTTTAATTTAATTATCAAACAATATTTTTTTTACTGTATATTACTCATCAAACTCGATTAAACTTTCTTTTATCACTTCAGAATATTTAGTACATAGATAAGACATTACCTAGCTTATTATTGATAATTTACAATGTTGCATTTAGGCAACATTGGAATTAGTGGTGTATCTGGTCTGAACATGATATAACAAATGCAACAGGAATGTAATTGTTGAGGAACAGACATGCGACTCTTGTTCCCATATTTCCGTTGTTGATATAATTATTTCATCTTGGAAATGGCATCTTATCCTACATTGTTCCATCATTGTATAAACAATGCTCTAAGTGTAATTCTTTAATAATTTTCTTTATTGTTGCACCGATTATTATAACAAATTATTTCCTACTTCAACCAATTCTATCCGGTCTCCTACAATTATTTTGCTTATTTTGGGAATGATAGAAGAAAATAAAGGCTTCATTAACTGCTGAACTTATTTCTGTGGGAAGATGTTCATCTAATTTCATCAAATACGATAGATGCTCAGCACATTCCTCAAACTTATGACGAAATGACACATAGAAAAATAGATTATCTTCCGGAAGAGAAAGAAGAAGAAGAAAAATTTACTGTGCAATTATCAACTCATGGAAAATATATAATATTGCGAATGAAGAAAAGATATCACAACTGTAATGTCGCTCTTACTTAGCCATGACTAATGAAATATGAAGTCTGCAAAAGGAAGTAAATGAAATAATGAGTAAATGCAGACATATACATAAGCTTAATACACTAATTCACCCTGCTGTTGCTTGCCTGCCAAGAGTGGCAACCTGGCTGTGCCAGCAACATGCTCAACTCCAATCTAGTGGCCGATTTTATAATTAATACCACCACTCTACCCGCATTTCTCCTCGCGCAGCCCGGAAAAGATCAGGATATTATTTATACACTTACATAGATACAAATTGAGCTGTTGTAACTCCATATCTTTTTTTTCCATTGCCACTTACACCATCCTCCCATTCACTCTTTGTTGACTTTGGGTATATTTTCAATATGCATACATTTCATGTAACATGTATATTACATATATGTATGCATATTGGAAAATGCCCAATTTCCAGAACAAAGAAAGTTTAAGTAAAATATTTTTGGAGGCATTTTAAAAATTTCTCTATTTTCTTGAAATTGTTATACACTCTTGATAAAACATTGAAATTAAGAAGCAGTGTCTAATACCGTCTTAAGTTCCTTCTGCACAATGATGTACTGTATAGTATTAATATACCAGAAAACAATTTTTATTGTGAATTTTATACGATTTAATCCATTTTGTCATAAGTACAAAATCTCATTTCCTTTTGAATTCGTAGAACACCACATACCTAATTTATTGACTAAGGTCTTTTACGTAATTCTTTTCCTAGCATCAGTGAACCCACAGAGAATTATGAGAGAGCATCATGAAACTCAAAACTTTTCAGTTGGAAAAATTAGAACGAACCACATACTCCCTCAGAACATACAATCATGTCAAGCAATTGCAAAAAATTTTCATTCCTATCCCCCATAATACAACAATGAAATAGTAGACTGGACTCAACAGTAGGTTAATACAGATTTTGATGGTCTGCAACACTCCTTTTTCTAATGGAAAAGACAAGAAAATTTTGTTTGTATGACAAAGTGCGTTGGAAGCAGAAATTTCTATGATCAAAGAAAAATTCCCTCTCGCACTAGGAATGGGAGTAGCCACTTAGCATCATGTGCTTCTTGGCACTAAATGGCAGCTTATGTCTTTCTCAGAATAATATGCAAGCATGAAAATAAAATGAAATTAACAACATGCTTGGTTTACCATTCAAAAACTTGAAAATTACAAAACTGTTCTCAAAAGTTACAAATGTTTCAAGAATTTATACTTACACTAGTAGCAACTGGACATATGCGCATACTTGAAAATTTCTATAGCCTGATATCTGAACCATTTGGTTTGGCCAGACAGGATACAAACCCATTTTCTCACGTGCAGCACCAATGCATGCAGCAGCAATTAATGAGTGAGGTTCATTCATAAGTCTTTGATCTGAAAATGATCACATTAGTTATTCATTCACAATATTGTTAATAATTAATGCATGCATCACAACGTTGAGAAATACATTTAAGTTACGTAGTAAAGTATTTTAAGCAGTAAACAGAAAATATTGCTACAAAAACATTACATTGACATTTTGATGGAAGTATGCAATTTGGAGGGTCCCTGATATCTAAAATTTGCCCCCTTCCCCCTCAAATCTGTCTTTTAGCTCATCTATTCTTTACTAGTGCCTTAACCGCATGCAGAATTTTCCAGATCGAGTGACCAAACTTAGCCTGTGAATTTGAAACTGATAATTCAATTTACAATGGATTTCAGACTCCTCAAGATTTTCACAAAATGGCTGCAAGTTTTTCCCAAACATTTTTTAATATATGGCCCAGTTATTACTGTAAATAAATTTGTTAATACAGTGTAACTGGAGTGATCTAAGCTAAAAGTGCTACAACAGCACACACTCACACTTAATGGATATGTAACAATACCACAATCTCTGACTATATTAACACATCAGTCATGACCTGCAAAATTCCTTACAAATCATAGAACATTAGGTATGAAAATTAATTCAGCAAACGTGGCTGCTAGTAACATTCAGTCAGCAAGCATAACTAAATATTAACAGTTTTATAATGTAACTGAAGTAAAGCTTCCACGAGACGTTGAGATACTAAAACTAGGCAAGAACTAACTTTCCAATTAAAAATAAGTATAAGAAGCGAGTAGTTTGAATTCATTAAGGATTTTGAATCTAACACGTTGAAAATAACTGAATGCGTTTGTAATGTAAAGTATCCTTCAATTTCTAACAAACATACTCACTTTGTTAACAGTCCAATTAAATATAACTCTAAAAGTGTGACTCATTTTGCAGAACCTGCTCAGTACTGATGCTTCTAAAGCAACACCCCAAATCGAAAAGTTACTCAATGTGACAAAGGTAGTGCTTATGCCATGATCATGAGATGATTTTGACTAAGATAAAAGCTAATTTTTCTGATGGCTTGAAATTTCAACAGTGAAATCGTTTGAATTTTGACAAAAAACAATAATTTATGTTATTCTGCCTAATCTTATACTGCCTGTACTATCTTTATTCTTGCATCCAATGTTAAAGCTGTGTGAAAGCAAGGCTCAAGTGGACGTCCGCCATTAAATACTTGCTATTTATGCGATGCGTTATGGAGTAGCAATTTAAATATTCTTGATATGTCAAGGGCTGGTGAACTGTACAGTAAAAACCTTTTACTCTATTCTTGGGACCCTAGGAAAAATTGTGTAAATTGTGAGAAGGGGAATTTTTTTTCTTCAAAACTATGAGTACAGTATAATGTACTTAGATACACACAACCAATAAGGATTATATGTTTTAACATGCAGTATTAAGATATATAAGAAACAATATTACACGGTCAAACAAATCTGAACGAATATTGCAATATCAGAAATTGAAGGTGCATTAACACCAAAGCATAGTGACTTTTAAATGTTGCAACAACACACTCATGAGTCCCTGCCATTCATTGATGGTAGCCTTGATGCAACAATGTACTCATAGTTGAAGGAACGACGATGGTATTTCTCTGTAAGAAAAAATGTGAAGTTCCCAACTTAATACAAAGTATGCGTCAGTTCATAATGATTTCCAACTAGTATTTTTTTATTTATGAAATAATAAATAAGTACATGAAATGAATTTATAGTTAAAAACATACAGAGAATCCCATACTTTGATGTTTGAGCTATTAAAGAATGGGTAAAAATTATGATTATTGTAGAATGAGAAAGTATGAAATTGTGGAGGGTGATGTAAAAGAAACAAGGCTACCTCACACAGGCATGTGACAGTTTTGTCAGACACACGCTACCTAACACTGATGACATCTGCTACATGGATGCCTGTGCACACGTGTCACTTAACATGCATCTTAGATTAACTTATTTAAAGCGAAATGGCACACTAGCACTCTTGGTGACTTGCATTGTGCCCACAGTTCAAGCTTTAGTCAAGATAACGCGCATTTTCTAGCTTTCAATGCAAGTTTCTTACTAGGTGAGGAGCATTTGCAACAACACCGTTCCAGATGGTGATGTGGCAAGCAGACTGTTGTAAATTGAAAGAAAATTGAAATTATACTATCATAAAAGTGAGACAATTAACGTTACGAATACTCAGAAACTGATGGGACTGACAAGAAATGGTGTAAATGACAGGAAAACTTAAATTGCGGGAATGTAAAAGCAGGGTTTTACTGTATATCCTTTACCATGTTATTGTAGCATTGGTAAAGTTGTTTTTGTAGAAGTATTTAATTTTATTGCAATGTTAAATGATAGTATTTGGTATGTAGTTCTTGAGCACTGTGCATGCTAGGGGGGCATAAAGGAGGCTGAGGGGGAGAGGAAGGGAAGGGGGATGAGGGAAACTAAATTCACAAAAAACTGCAATGTCTTGCAAAAACAAGGGGATGAATTTTTGCACACATTTCATACCTAGCAATGCTAGACGCAGAAACATTTTCATGTATTGCCGTACTCCATGTAACAGCTCCTCTCCTGAACCAAGTACATGATTCAGATCATCTGGGGAAACTGCATACTGAACATAATAGTCCGCGAAGTGAACAGCTGTGGGGATAAATTTCCACTGCATGAATTTTAGTATCATGAATTCCATTCGGATAAACACTCCTTTTTGTGGCTGTTCGTCCATGAATTGCAGCAAAAATTCAGTAAGCTTCGAAGTTTTTTCATCATTTTCTTCATACTTGGCTACAACAAAAATATTCTTTTATTGGTCAAAAGAAAAAGGGAAAAAAGTCAAAATTAAATGAAGAATATATCTGTTTCGAGAAGTGAACCAGATGAGTTAGAAAGTGCATTGAACGAAGAAGTGAATATGAAGTGTGATATTGGAAACCTGCAAGGAAGTAATGTTAATTCAGGAAATGACATGCAGAGAAGGGAAGAGTTTTACCCTTCCCTTATGATGATAATAATAATGATATAAAAATAAAAAAGAGCAAACTTTAGAGAAAAAGAGCATAACAATGAAAAGTGAAAAAATATTTACAAAATTAAAGCATACCAGCAATTGACAAACATGCAAAGCAAACCAGCTCCAAGCGTTTTACATTAATAGCATGGCAGTCCATGTAAGTATCCAACATATAGACTGCTAAATGTAGAGCTCTTTCTGATAATTTTAATTTAGTCGACACATAAATAATCTTCACCAGTAATTCCTCTCTGAACTCCAGCTATGGAAAACAAACAAAACCATAAGCATAATTGATGCACCAAACTACAAAATTTTAATACATGTATGATAATTCATCCTGTAACTATGTACTCCAAAATTCTAGTGGAAACAGTTTTATTACTGGACCATGATAACTTTTCTCTGATAAAATTTGTAATGCAAGATGCATACCTAATACTCCAGTACAAGTCAATTTATGAAGGATTATGGTTACTACTTGTTTTGCCTTTGATATCAATGGCAAGTATTTACAAAAGTAAACCACAGGAGCGTAATCTGACCTAAAAGAAATTTAATTACAAAAAGTTTAATCCAAGTTCATATTCAATTTTATTCTGCTAGAGACCCAATGCAAGTATGTTAAGCCAAGTTAAATTAAAATTAAAAAAGAAATGAGGAAAGCAACAACAAAGAACCATGCTGAGAAACGTGTCTGTGCCAAGAAAAAGTTCTTGAACAAGTATGATCGTTGTATGATCTTTTCTCCCCTTGAGAATATCTGAGGATCATAAATTATGGTATTAATTCAATGATTTTGAGGCAATGTTTTGCATTCTACAAAACACCACCAAAATCTTTGAACTTCAGAAACATTCAAACTGCAAAAAGTTGCAAGAAATCCTTGTCAAAACCCTGACAGTCTTCAGCTGGCAGGTGTGGACTAATGTTTCAATTCTTTCAATCTACACCCCTTCAGACATCACACACCTTCAGGTAGGGGTAAAGCAACGTTTACTGCCCAAATACACGGAGGACCATCTAGGCATTAGCTCTGAAGATTACTGGGAAATTGGATGGAAACTAAACAGATGGCATTCTGAGCCAAAAGAAATGACAGTATCAAATAAAAGTTTGTAAGAAGGCAAGAATAAATCAGGACTATGGAGAATGATCAGAACAGAAATTAACAGTTCTGATAAATCCACTATGAAAAATCAAGGTATATAAATGTTGTTCAAAGCCCACAAGAACAAAGTAGCGATCAATTTTAATATTTTTCAGGCCCACTAGAAATGTCTTGCTTCTGTTGAGTAACTTCTTGCATATTAATAATTTTTTGTAAGCTGTCAGCAGCAATGGACAATAGATATGGTTACATTACAGAACATTCTAGATTAGATTACATTACACAATTATAGATCAGTGTTATTTCGATAAAATCACACTAGGTTTCATTAGCATACAGTTGGAAGGTATATAAAATTAAGTATGGCAGGGCACATTTACGTCTATAGTAATAGTCCAGTTATAATACTTTTTGTATAAGAAAATGGTGATAGTTCAGGCAGAAAGTTTTAACTCTCTCATAAAAATTATCTAGTCAACTAAGCAATTTCAGGTTTGTTGTAGACTAATTCGTAAGAAGTAGTTACAAATTTTAAAAATTTCTCAAAAGGCCTCTTCAAAATCATGGGATTGTCTCATATTCAGGGAAACATAGGATACTATAAATTAATACATTGTATTCACACATACAATACTTTACCATGGAAGAAGTATGCTGTTTATTATGTGTATGAATTTATGAACTGGACAAAAACATATCAAGTCTTACTGCATTTTAATTGATATTTATATTTTTAACTGATAAACATAAATATGAAGATTCATACAAGAAAATAATGTGCACGCTGGATGCACATGGTGCAAGTAGGATAAGATTCTAAGATACCTTCTGATTTTCTTTTATTTCTTGATTTTATAACAATTCAGTACATCAGAGAATGTCCAATTATTTGGGAGAGAAATCCATTAATATAAAAATTTAAAATAAACCTAGTTCAATTTATAACTGATCCGAAAAGTAAAAAATTTATTTTACTCAAATAATTTCATTACAGTACAAAAAACCATCTTATTCCTTGAAACTAAGAAAAAAGTGCATTAACAAAATTGAAAATGTTTTCACATCAATTCATGTAAATGTTTTGCTATAACCATCAACCAATTTTTTGCTTTCAGAATGCATTCCTTAATTTCTTGGCTAAATTAGTTTTCCCTCTAAATATGCTTCTAAACTACATGACATTCTGACAAAACTATGATCTGTTGCACCACGACTGTTTACAGTTTACATCATTGGCAAAAGGGATTAACTTTATACACTCAAGATTGCTCCAATCAGACAAAAAATTAAAGGAAAACATTATGCAATTTACAGACAAGTTCAGAATTCTAGTCGGAGCTAGATGCATGCAACATTGCATTTCGGAAATCAGTAAGGAATTTAATATTCAGAGATCCAGTGTCCAGGGTGTGCTGAAAATATCCGATTTCAGGCATAACATCTCACCACGGACAACACAATGGCCAACAGCCTTCACTTAATTACAGCATAGTGGTATTTGCAGAGAGTTGACAGCACTACCAGACAAACACTGCATGAACTAACCTCACAAATAAATGTGGGACATACAATGAAAGTACATTTTTATTTCTGAAATTATTCAATCAATAAATTTTACTGAAGTAGGTCAATTCAGAGAAGATTTTCAAAATTAAAGGAAACATTGTCAATTTTTGAATGTATTATTCGAAAACTTAAGATGATCAAGAAGTTATAGCAAAAATAACAACAAATGAGTTCAATACTGTTTAAAATACAAAAGGTCAGTTGAATGAAATGCAACTACTCTGCTCATGAGACCACAAAACAATGGCCGCGCTGATGGAAGTGTGCAAACCCTTCAGTCAACATGGCATTTTTATGTCATCTTAGAGATGCCCTCCAACCTCTAGCACATCACCCTGCCTGCAGGCACATGAGCTGAGAAATCATTTCAAGAAGTCATCTCAGACATTCCTTATGACTGCAAAGGGTTAATTCAGCATTGAATAATTCAGCAGGAATATTGTTTCCCATACAATTCTTAGAAAAACATCTGCGCATCCATGCAATAAAAAAATTAAGTTTGTTTTAAATTGAAGGTTTTAGCAACATACAGAACTATTGTTAAAGTTTTACTATGAGCGATTCTATGATTACAATTTACATGTGTAGTTTTTTGAAAGAATATTCAAGGATCTGAATCCTCCATTTATTGGATAGATAAAAGAAAAGGCAATTTGAATACTATTTTATTAGTTTGTGATTAAATTAGAGAGAACATTATATAAAAACAATTTGGTAGTTAGAAGTTAAACCCATTCTCATAGTCACAACTTACCTGTGGAGCTGAGAAATGAGACCTGAAACGTTTTTCTTCTTGCCGCTTCATGAACAAGTGAGCATCTTTCGCGTATTCAGTTACCGCATAATAATGGGATGACTGCCTCGACATCTGTACAATTTAATTATTAATGGCAACTTTAATATTAAATTTGGACAAATATAGTCATGTAATTAAAAGTTTTATACTTACTTTTTCTATGAACTTTTAAAATATCTTACAGTTGTGCATAAAAAATGTTTTATTACCAAAATTACCAAAATATTTACACACACAAAAAAAAAAAAAGGCCTAATATCTTCAATCGGTAATACTCAAAGCATTAATAACCAATCTGTGAACAGAAAAACTTTTATTCAGGAGAAAAAAGTACTAATGACTTTGAAAAAAGACAAATTAAAAAATTAATATTACTGCTCTGGCATAGTAGAACTAGAATACAAATTTAAGTAAAAGGAGTAAAAAGAAATTAATTTCTTTTAAAAACAAAAAACCTACTTGAAGTTTTGTGCAATACTTAAAATATGAAATCGCTGCATATTACAAGTTTGCCTGATACACACTGTCAGATGTCATCCATGCATTCAAATTTTTCAATTGCTTGATTATTATGGGTTTCTAGGCTCATCAACTACTTAGGGTGTTAGTGCTTTACGTGTAATGCATGTTGTACCTCAGGGATGGCAGTGTCCCCTTGCTTTAACATGAAATCCGGCATAGACATTCAGGTTGGCTTAGAACGTTTCCCCATCCCAGACCCAGGATTAATATAAACAGCTACTAAAATTCTCCTCCAGAGGTACATTGAACTGTCTAGCTCTTTAGCTGTAGTTAAAAGTCCGCTACACTGGGACATTAACCCTAGGACCTGTAGGTCAGACACTGCCATGGCACTGATTTCCACTTCAAGGGTCAGCTTCAATGAAGCTGTACCACTCGCCCCACCTGGCATTCCATCCACTTATTATTGGCAACTAGTCTTGGAGGCATCTCTACCTCAACAACGCCTTCTCCCTCTAGCTTACCAGTCACGGAACCTACCTATCAATAACCCACTGAGCTTCTACATCTAGTTCCTGTTATCACTTAAGACAATATGAACCGTGGATCCTTAATGTAATGACTTAATGATAGGATAGGGTACAGTAGGGAATGATTGATTGAGCACACCAGTGTAATGCATTTTGGCACAGGAAAAGAGTACCCTGGGAAAACCTGCCATGATCCTGCTTTGTACACCACTTCCAGTATGTCTGGGATTGAACTTGGGCATCTGCTGTTGAAGGTGTGCAGTCACTATATCATAGGGGTAGAGTTCTGGAAAGCGATTGTTAATTTGAAAAAAGAGCACCAAGAATGTGTTTCAAAATTACAAGTACATTTCGGTTATTATGTTGAAACACTTTCTTGATCCTTATTTTATTGCAATGGTTTCTTGGTCTTTATAAAACAGACTTTTTTTTTAAAAAGTGGGTGTTTTTTTTTGTTTATGTTTTGACCCTGTTTTGTAGTCTTTTAAAAAAAATATATTGTCCAGGTTAGTTTACCTTCAAACATGTCAAGCTTTGAAAATAAATGGTAAGTACTTCAGGAAATTAGAGGTAAACCACAATTTGGAAACAAAAATATTCTAGAATAAACCATCCAAAATATACATTAGGCTTCGGAAATTATCCCAAAATTGCATAGTTATTTCCTTCAACTAAAGAGATTAGGAATGGTTAGAAGTTTCCAGGAGATACAATTCACATTCCAGAAGATGAAAATAATAGCTCAATTTGTCAACGAGTCCACATTTGGAAATCCACAATTACAAATTCACATTGTAAATTAATATTTGATATTGCACGGTTGGTGTATTTCTCTTTTGATCGAAAACCTATTGAACTAACGCTCTCAAGTCTGGCAAAAGGCTGAAATAGGGACTAATGAATTAGGATTTCTTGGCTGACAAACAAATGCGCAATAATAAACCATGAAAGTTATGAAATAAATTGTTTCACGAATGTTTTTTAAGTGTCCTTGTGTACAATTCGTCAACAGGATTCCTTAACTAGCAGCATAACAATCACAGTCCATCAGCAACATGCTGGAACTGACATACAAGTCTAGTCTAGAACCAGCAATAATAATGTCGTATATCGCATAAACAATTGAAGTTCCACAAACCAATCTACGAATATAGTAATCCTGTATAAATACAACGTAAAACATGTTAAAACCAGCTCAGTACACACTGAAAGAAAAATTCTCTTCCAAGTGTCAAAAAAACAAAATGGTTCTCGGTTTTCGCGCAGCATCATTCTCATTTGGATACTATCACAACTTGCTATGCGAAGTCAATAAAAATAAAATTATTACACTTTCGAGTAGTCTTATATTATTGAAAAATTATGTTATTAATGTTCGTTAATGACTCCGAAAATAAAAACTAGAATAGACTACACGTCTGAAACGAAAACTTTCCCTGGTACGAGTTCACCCTAAAATGGTTTCAGTCACACAGAGAAATATTGTTAATATACAGACTCAACCCTCACGTTGACCACAATTTGTATTAAACAGAAAAATTACAGCAAAATGTACACCAACCTTCAACCAGACACATCGCCATATCTCACAATCGCAACCGCTGCAATGCACGTTCAGAACAACTACTTCAGCTCATGAACTGTCGAATAACATCAAGTAACAAACAACCACGTGTTCTTCATGCCGAACGGAAAGGGCTTACAACTAAATGTTCTTTGAAACATCTTGCAAGGAATAGCAATATACGAGTACTTCCAGCAAAGAGTATACATATGTATAAAATGTATAGTATTCTTTGGCTTTCAGGGCTGGTTAGGGCAACACAACCGCGCATGGTGGCAAGTGTCAGTTGACAGTGGCCGTAGGCTAATGGACGTACAGTACGTGTGTCGATTTCCTTTACGTGCATTGTGATCTTTCCTCTCGGTTGGAAGCTTTTCCCTTACTACACGGACTTTAGGATGTTTTTGTTTTGTGTAGGTACATTTTCTCTAAGTGATAAATTCATTTTTACTTTCTCGCTTTGCTACGTTTATGTAGTAAAGAGAAACTATTGTAATGTGGTGAAAATCGGAGACTTCGGCAAAAACACTCTTCTTGTCGATCCCCAGGAAAAATATTTTCCCTAACACGTGAATTCAGAATACATGTTTTGTGGATCCTTTTGATACAGAATAATCGATTGACGGCACAGCGTATGTCTGTGTGTTCGACTGTGATCAATGTGGTCATCAAAACTGATTTTTTCCAAAAATTGATATTCACACCCACTCAAGTCCCTGCGAGTTTGAAACGGATATTATGATGGGGGGGGGGGGAGTACTCTAACAAAAGATAAGCCGCAATAACATTTTCGAAACTTTCTCGAAAATGGCTCTGAATTTTCAGGCCCTGTGAGATTGAAATGTGAATTGATTATTAATTGCGAATTGTATAGGTGTGAATATATAAACCACATAAAGACTTTACTATGAAATTATGAGTTTTTTCTCAATAATTGATGATTTTTTATGAAACAATTTTTTCGAATAACGTTGAGGACAATTCTCATTCTCAGAATTTTGAGCGCAATTCTCATTTTCGTTGAAATATAGGGTTGTCACCTTCTGAAAACCCAGGACCCGGAGATTTTGAATCGGGGTTGGAGAGGGGGGTCACAAAAATTGTCATAATGAATGTGATTCTAGACCGTAGAATCAAGATTCCAATATATGAATGCCTATTTTTATGGGTTATACACATTCCTGGCGTGAAATGTAAATATTATAGTGATCCTGATATTACAGAGAATCCTACAGAGAAATGCATCGATTTTTCGCACAGTTTATTGTTGAATTGAATTTTGTCCAATAATAATAATAATAATAATAATAATAATAATAATAATTTTCATGAAGAAAGAATTTAATGTGAAATGCGAGTACTTTTTACCTACATTCAAATGTAGATTACCTTTATAAGACAAAGAAAAACACCACAACCATATGCACATCATATCACATACTTATGCCAAACAATTCCGTATATTTTTCCCACGGAATTTAATTACTCAATATGAGTAATATACCCAGAGATTTTCCTCATTAACCTGGAGCCCGGAGATTACTTCTGAAACCCGGAAAGGTGGCTACCATATTGAAATATCTCAATTTTCCAAAACTACAGAATTTCAAAATCTTTGTCGGGTCATCCTAATAATGCAATATTGAAGATAAAGATTTCTTTCCGTAATGAAGTTCAGGAAAGTTCAGGTTCCTGTTGAACTGTGATCGTTGTGTCCTTGAGCCCATTGGACTCTCCTTCCTCCATTCGTTCGTTTGCAGTTGGCTAACTTGTAAATGGGTTCGATGCTTCCTTGTGACGTCCTCGTCCGACGAAAAAATAGTGCACCAAGAGAAATAATTGAAATTAAGAAGAGCAGTGCTATGTGCTCTTCTGTAAAAATTATTTTTTTAAAAATAAATACTACATTGAAGTCACGTTTTGTGTAAGAACTGCTATGTTTATTTTAAAACCGAGTCTATGATTCATACTGGTGCACGGTTTTCTTGTCCTGTGCTGTAAGGTGGCAAGCTATGATGGAGAGCGTTTCGTGGTTCCGTGTTTAACGTTATATATTTATTTAAAAAAAATATAATTATACAGTTGTGAACCATGAGAAAAAATGATGTCTTAACGGGAGCCATGTACAATCGTAAACACTTTACGAAGAAGCGTGACTGAAAAGCTGTCGTGGCGGAGGGATACTTCTCTGAATTGCATGTGATGTTCATTTGTTTAGCGACCTGTCATTTTGGCTCATTCTTATGCGAGTTGTTCTATACTCATGCACAATGTTTTGAGAATGTGTGTAATTTTCGTGTCATTTTGCGTTAAATATATGCAGTTAAAAATTAAAAAATTGTATTTTCAAAAACGGTTCCTTTTTCTTAAATTTTTCTTCCTCGTTTGTATTCCTCGAAAAAAAACGGTAAAAACAATTGGACTGATCCTGTTTTCGACGAACTTTCCGTAATTTCGAAAATTGCAAAAAATAGTATTGCAAAATTACAATATGATTATATGAATTTTTCTGAAAGGAAATCTTATTTTAAAAAATTGATTTGTAAATAAGACCATGTACAGTTTTTTGAAAAACGAGTAGTTTTCGCATAATTTCTAGTTGGTGTTAATGCAATTTATAAAAAAAAAACATTTTCTCAAAAACGGCTTCAATTTTTTCTTTAGTGTTTTCCGTCGTGAAAAGGAGACTTCAAAAATGGAAGAGGTCTAATTTTCGTTGAACTTTCTGAACTTTTGATAGAAATAACGCGAGAAAGTATGTGCTGTTATAGGACCACTAGTTTAAAGTAAAATTAGGGTCTTTAGTTTTAATTTCTAGCAGAACCTCGTATTCCAAGTTCCTGAAATGGGCCCATTGGCAATTGTAATAAAATATCTGCGTGGTAGTTGCTTTTGATAAAGCCGTATTTCAAGCAAAGAACAATATCTTATAGTGGTATGATACTATTGAGGAAATACTCATTTCAGTCAAACACGAAGTTACATATATTTATTACTTGCCAGAATGAAACAGCAGAAATCTTCTCTATTTAGAGATCTAGCTCCTTCTTCTATAACATGGTAATAACTGTATTTCAATGTGATCTCGTTAGTAACACCTCTGTAAATTTGCCCACGCCAAAAAATTCAAATTTTCAAATATTTCATGCGCATTCGCTTGTATATCGTTTGGTCATGTTTACTCACCATTTAGGGAATTCTTACCAGTTACGATGGACAGAAAACGTTTCTCCCTCCATTTTGGAAATCGCTAAAATACTAGGAAACGCACATAAATGTCAAAATTTTTAATTCTTCTTCAGTCGTTCATCTTTGGTTCGTTTGCTCTTCACTTAGATGTGTACAATGTTTGATTCAATAATTACAATCCCCCACACACTAAGAATTTTACCATCATTTAAAAAAATCTGTCTTTTTACAACAACAAAAATTAAAGTTATGATTTGTATTCGTTTTTGCACCTTAAGACCTCTTGACTGTTTATTCTTCAGGTCGCGTACGACACCTAGAGATCCACCGGATTTTCAAACGGTCAGGATCTTGTCATCCCTTATTTTTCTGCCCATCCCTTTCTGTTCCATATCGCTTTGTTGACTGCATCTCCCCACACCTTTCTGTCCTGAGTGTTGCGTATATCTTCCCAACTCGTTCTCAGTGTTGTCATTATTTATTTGATTCATCGTATTCTGTGTCCTCCTCTTTTCCTTTTTCCACCTGACTGTCCCAACATCAAATGTTTTTCCAGTAAATCGCACCTTCTCATTACATGTCCGAAGTATTTCAGTTTAAATTTTGTGGCTATTGCCTCTAAAGAGAGTCTAGGATTTACTTGATTGATTATCGATAAATTAGTTTTCTTTTCTGTCCTGGACATCATTTATATTCTCCTCCATGCCCAAAGCTCAGAACTGTCTAATCTGTTTTGGTCACGTTTATTCAGTGTTCAACTTTCACATCCATAAAGCACCTCAGAGAATACCATCGTCTGCATAATTTTGAATATTGTGTTCATGGATATTCCTGAGTTTTTCATTTCCTTCTTTAGCTTCCCCACTGATATTTAGGCTACAATTATCCTTCTTTTTATTTCCTTCTTACTTGATCCGTCATTGGTAATGAGTGACCCCAGAAAATTGTAATTATCCACAATACAAACTTCTTCTCCATCTATTATTATGTTATCTTGTTCCCCTGTACTGTTTTCTTTAAGCTTAATTTAAGACCTACTTTTTCACTTTTCTTCTTTACCGATTTTATTATTTCATTAATGACACTTTTGTTTTCCGCCAAAAGTGTCGTATCATTAGCGTACTTGAGATTATTCAACTCTCTACCTTCAATCCTTATTCCCACGTGTAATTTATCTAGTCCCACTTCTCGTATTACGAATTCCCTGTATAAGTTGAATAAAGGTGGAGACTGGATGCGTCCTTGTCGTACTCCCTTCTGTATTTGAAACCAATCCGTCGTACCTTGTTCCGTTTGAACCTTAGCTTCTTGGCCTGTGTACAGTTCCTTAATCATCTCTATCAAGTGTTGAGGTATTCCCATCTGTCTTTAAACTTGACACATCTTCTTATGATTAACACTATCGAAGGCTTTTTGGTAGTCCATGAAACATAGATATATCTCCTTACTGTGCTCTTTTGTCTTTTCCATAAGTCCGAGGCCGTTTGTTTGGATAGTGCTTCAGCATTCGTCATTGATTGAGAAACGACAGAAAACTGCCGATCAGATCAGTCGATCGCTATAATTTTCCTCTAGACAGCGACTGAATTCGACCTAGTTATAAGCTTAGAATAAACACACTGCCACCGACGGGACTCGAACCTAGGCCCTCCCGGCCAGAGGTACTGCGGGGACAGCCACCTCTCCCGCAACTGACATGACTGACGGCGAGTTAACTCGGAGGATCTGAGTTCGAGTGTCGGTGCTGAAAATAAGTTTTACTGACTGGAAACACTTTTGCATGTTTATGCAGTAGTATAATATAGCGGAGCACTTAGAAAAAATGTATTGTTATAGCACCGTTTGTTTCTTAATGAAATATGTTAGTCATAAACAGATCTTCAAACTATGTCTTTTTCAATTTTTCAAAAATATGAGACGTTTGAGGGTAATTTCAAGTGAAACGTAGGCAATTTAAATAATTAT